CCATCTGAGTCACCTTTAAAGTCAGCGACCTGTGCAAAAGAATCGATACTGCTAAATGAGACCAAGTGGGTGTGACACGGAGCTTGACAACAGGCAGCAGAGCTGTCAATCCCTAAACGGCCGCAAGAGAGAGGTCAGAGGGGACCGGATGAAGTTGGATATGGTAATGGACTGGGCCTCCAAAAATTATGCGATTGATCATCTGGACTGAAGAAAAACTTGGAGTTGGCAGTGGCAGAGCAAAAAATTGGCTGACAAGCTTATCTGATCTGCGAACACGCGCAACTTAATTCACAACTGCCTCCAGCAATCTTGTTTTAATATCCCCCAAACTTCAGACAGCTCCTCCCTGTCCAGGACTGACTGCAGCCTGCTTGTGCAGCTCCTCCATCTCGAGGAGCAGAGTTTTTTAACTCAGACAGCGTTTCAGATATTAGCTGAGTAAATGATTCTAACAGGACACTGAAAACTACGTCTTTTTCGCTCATAATATACTGCAAAGTAGCTGCGTTGGTGTTTTGGCTGAGCCAGACCTGCATATATTGTTTGGTTAGCGAGTTTGATTACACAACACTCCATCCAGGAATACACCACCCGTAGGGACACACATGCCAAGCATAACACACACACAAGCACTACGACGTGCGCAGGCACACACACACACACGCACGCACACACACACACCCACATCGTCTTACACACACACAACACAACACAACACACCACACACACACCCACACACACACACACCACGACACACACAACACACACACACTGCGCTTTTAAAAAGCAAGCTGGTTATTAAATGTCTAAGACAACACAGGAACTGAAACATTGTTGTGCAGGTTTGCAAATTATTTCTTATTCATTGGCAGTTGGTCCAGGTGTGTTTTTGTCAGATGCTTTGAACTATATTCTCAAGTTAGACTCAGAGGGGGCTGCTTGCCCAAACATATTGCGCTCTATTAAAGTAAAAAGACGTACTGCTGCATGTTAGCAAACTTGAGTCTACAATTTTAACATAAATAGAGTGCACAGTGGGAAGAGAGAAAATGCGTGTCCCACATGGTGGCAATGCTGCAGCAACTGCCTCCACCTTATGGAATAACTGATCCTATACCGTTGCGTCAAAAACATTTCTTTTACCGTTTCCAGGTTTAAGATCTTTTAACGTGTCCTTTCTGTGCAACGCTGCTTCGCTGAATCACAGCAGCCAAAACAAATAGCAGAACACATTCACAAACCGGCATTTCGCCCATCACTCCACACCCGCTCTATCTGCGCTCTGGCGGCGTCCGCTTGGTGCTCGGTGCTGATCTCCCCGATCACTATCAGCATGTAGTAGCTGCCCCGGTTTGAACGGCACCCTCTCCGCCGTCTCCCTCCACCTCGACGGTACGTAGTCGAATCCTCGGACGCCCGGCGGCGGCGCGCTGCAAGCCCTCGTCCTCCTCCACCACCGGGAGCGCACCTCGCACCGGAATCTCCATGCGGCAACAACCCCCGGAGCCGACGCCGAGGCTGACTCCATCGCCATGACAACCGACCCGTGAGTGCGAGGGAAAGAGTGTGGTGAGGTGAGGTGGGAGGGGGACGGAGGGTGAGGAGGAGGCTGGGAAGTGAGGGATAAGGAGGGAGGTGAACTATAGGGGAAAGCGTGTCAGATAGTACAAAAGTTTTATTTCCCGGTGGAGCTTGCAAAATAAAGAGCCCTTTGGGTGAACGTTCAGGTGAACCTGAGCTGACTGGTGAAAATTTTTGTATTTTAGTTTTTGAAGACGAAACACTACTAAAAAAATAAAATAATGAAAGATAAAGATATGTTCAACATTAACATATTTTAAATGCATGCATTATAGTTAAACGTCCCAATAGGTATATGAGGTAGTTAAAATGAACTCCACCTTACCAAGCTGCAAACGTTAAAGTCATGTATACATGAATATAAACATAGCTAACTAGTCCAATAATATATATACATTATGTGAAATGGCCAGTGTGCATATTTACTTTAGATAGTTTGAACTTTATTTAAATATAAAGACTTTTACTTGTGACAGCGTGTTTGTTACAGCAGCGGTGTTGCCAACAAGTTAGGTAAATGATATGAAGTACTTCTTCCTACACTGAGAAATCAGTGACAGTCATTCAGATGGCAAAGGTTGCATCACCCTCCAAAAGTATTTATGTGATGTCACAAATGTCTGCTGTCTCTCTCGGAAATGAGAAAAATGTTTGCCCAGATTTTGAAACAAATCTTTAAATCCAAAATTATATTTACACAGGCTGTGTCGGGAAGCACCGGCCAACCGCCATAACAGTCAGTTACCTATAACTAGCTAGCTAGAAGAGCTGGACGGGCTAACGCACACTGGAAATTTGAATTTAAAAGTTGGTGTGTCGCCCCGGACAAGTATGATGTCCACTCCCGATAGAGCACACAAATATTAGATCAGGAAATTGTGTTTAAAGAAGCAACCCTGCCGATAAGGGGAGAAAAAATATCAATTACAATTCCAGCCAAAGGTTTGCATATGGAGCGCTGGTGTGAGCGAATCACTGAGGCTAAAGCTAGCTTACTACCAAATGAAGCCAGTGGCTTTAGTTCTGAACTTTTTATGGGGTCGGGGGAAATTTTAAAGTACCTCAAGTAACCTAAAGCCTTTTCTCAATACAAGTCTGACATACTGTTTTAAAATACGTCCCCAGTAAAGTATAAACCTTACCTTTGCTTGGCTTGTTCATGTATGTTTTCACGTTGTCCATCACGCTAATCAACTCACCTACTACACACTTTTTGCCCCTGCTCTTGTCTTGAAGGTGTCTGTGTTTTTTGGTCTCATCATGCTTTTTTCTAAGGTGATTTTCCGGGACACACCTTGGACTTAATTTCAACCGCCCTGAACAGGTAACTAGCAAACACATATGCGTGTGTTAACATGGGCCAATAAGAGGTTAAATCAAACCTAGCAATATTAAGGATACAGACAAACCCCGCAGTACAATTAACTGCTTTAGGCAACACCCACTAATTTTGCAGTTGCAGACTGATTACATCCTCCAAAATTAACAAAAGGTGAATCAGCGCCTCTCTAAGACAGTTTTAAAAAAATCTATTATATATATATAATATATATATATATATATATATATATATATATATATCTGTGACATAAACATGGAGCATCTCAACCACATCACAACACTCACCTGTGGATGCAAGAGGCTCAGGTGAGGTCACATGACTCAGAGTCAGGTCCCTCACTGTGAGGAAGACTGACCGAGAGACTGAATGAACAGCAGCTACCTGAGGTCAAAGGTCACAGAGCAGGAGTCAATGGACAACTGGAAAAAGATGTTCACATGACCCCAGAGAGCATCATCATGTGACCGAGGTCAAACACTGGTATGGGTTCCTTCTGTTCACTGCACTTTATATATATATATATATAATAGATTTTTTTAAAACTGTCTTAGAGAGGCGCTGATTCACCTTTTGTTAATTTTGGAGGATGTAATCAGTCTGCAACTGCAAATTAGTGGGTGTTGCCTAAAGCGGTAATTGTACTGCGGGGTTGTCTGTATCCTTAATATTGCTAGGTTTGATTTAACCTCTTATTGGCCCATGTTAACACACGCATATGTGTTTGCTAGTTTACCTGTTCAGGCGGTTGAAATTAAGTCCCAAGGTGTGTCCCGGAAAATCACCTTAGAAAAAGATGATGAGACCAAAAAACACAGACACCTTCAAGACAAGAGCAGGGCAAAAAGTGTGTAGCTAGGTGAGTGATTAGCGTGATGGACAACGTGAAAACATACATGAACAAGCCAAGCAAAGGTAAGGTTTATACTTTACTGGGAGTATTTTAAAACAGTATGTCAGACTTGTATTTGAGAAAAGGCTTTAGGGTACTTGAGGTACTTTAAATTTCCCCCGACCCCATAAAAAGTTCAGACTAAAGCCACTGGCTTCATTGGTAGTAAGCTAGCTTTAGCCTCAGTGATTCGCTCACACAGCGCTCCATATGCAAACCTTTGGCTGGAATTGTAAATTGATATTTTTCTCCCCTTATCCGGCAGCGGGTTGCTTCTTTAAACACAATTTCCTGATCTAATATTTGTGTGCTTTCTATCGGGAGTGACATCATACTTGTCCGGGGCGACACACCAACTTTTAAATTCAAAATTTCCAGTGTGCGTTAGCCCGTCCAGCTCTTCTAGCTAGCTAGTTATGGTAACTGACTGTTATGGCGGTGGCCGGTGCTTCCCGACACAGCCTGTGTAAATATAATATTGGATTTAAAGATTTGTTTCAATCTGGGCAAACATTTTTTCATTCCGAGTGGACAGCAGACATTTGTGACATCACATAAATACTTTTGGAGATGCAACCTGCCACTGAATGACTGTCACTGAATTTCTCAGTGTAGGAAGAAGTACTCATATCATTTACCTAACTTGTGGCAACACCGCTGTGTAACAACACGCTGTCACAAGTAAAAGCTTTAATATTAAAATAAATTTAAACTATCTAAAGTAAATATGCACATTGGCCATTTCACATTAATGTATTATATTATTGGATAGTAGCTACTGTTATATTCATGTATACATGACTTTAACGTTGCAGCTGGTAAAGGTGGAGTTCATTTTAACTACCTCATATACTATTGGGACGTTTAATCTATAATGCATGCATTTAAAATATGTTAATGTTGGAACATATCTTTATCTTTCATTTATTTTATTTTTTAGTAGTGTTCGTCTTCAAAAACAAAATACAAACATTTTCACCAGTCAGCTCAGTTCACCTGAACGTTCACCAAAGGGCTCTTATTTTGCAAGCTCCACCGGAAATAAAACTTTTGTACTATCTGACACGCTTTCCCCTATATTCACCTCCCTCCTACTCCCTCACTTCCCAGCCTCCTCCTCACCCTCCGTCCCCCCTCCCACCTCACCTCACCACACTCTTTCCCTCGCACTCACCGGTGGTTGTCATGGCGATGGAGTCAGCCTCGGCGTCGGCTCCGGGGGTTGTTGCCATGGAGATTCCGGTGCGAGGTGCGCTCCCGGTGGTGGAGGAGGACGAGGGCTTCAGCGCGCCGCCGCCGGGGTCCGAGGAGCGACTACGGTACCGTCGAGGTGGAGGGAGACGGCGGAGAGGGGTGCCGTTCAACCGGGGCAGCTACTACATGCTGATAGTGATCGGGGAGATCAGCACCGAGCACCAGCTGGACGCCGCCAGAGCGCAGATAGAGCGGGGTGAGTGATGGGCGAAATGCCGGTGTGAATGTGTGTCTGCTATCTGTTTGGCTGCTGTGATTCAGCGAGCAGCGTTGGCACAGAAAGACACGTTAAAAGATTTAAACCTGGAAACGGTAAAGAAATGTTTTTGACGCAACGGATAGGATAGTATCCATAGGTGGAGGCAGTTGCTGCAGCATTGCACCATGGGACACGCATTTTCTCTCTCCCACTGTGCACTCTATTTATGTAAAATTGTAGACTCAAGTTGTAAATGCAGCAGACGTCTTTTTTACTTTAATAGAGCAATATGTTGGCAAGCAGCCTCCCTCTGAGTCTCAACTGAAATACTAGTTCAAAGCATCTGACAAAACACACCTGACCAAACTGCATGAATAAGAAATAATTTGCAACCTGCACAACAATGTTTCAGTCTGTGTTGTCTTAGACATTTAATAACCAGCTTGTATTTTAAAGCGCAAGTGTGTGTGTGTGTGTGTGTGTGTGTGTGTGTGTGTGTGTGTGTGTGTGTGTGTGTGTGTGTGTGTGTGTGTGTGTGTGTGCGTGCGTGTGTGTGTGTGCGTGCGCACGTGTGTGTGTGTGTGTGTTTATGCTTGCATGTGTGTCCCTACGTGGGTGTATTCCTGGATGGAGTGTTGTGTATCAAACTGCTAACCAAACAATATATGCAGGCTGGGCTCAGCAAACACAACGCAGCTACTTTGCAGATATTATGAGGAAAAAGACGTAGTTTTCAGTGTCCTGTTAGAATCATTACTCAGCTGAATATCTGAACGCTGTCTGAGTTAAAACCTGCTCCTCGAGAGGAGGAGCTGCAGCAGGCTGCAGTCAGTCCTGACAGGGAGAGCTGTCTGAAGTTTGGGGATATAAACAGATTGTGGAGCAGTTGTGAATTAAGTTGCGGTGTGCAGAATCAGGAGTAAGCTTGTCAGCAATTTTTTGCTCTGCCACTGCCACTCCAAGTTTTTCTCAGTCCAGATGATCAATCGCATTTTTGGAGGCCAGTCCATTACCATATCAACTTCATCCGTCCCCTCTGACCTCCTCTTGCGGCCGTTAGGGAGTTGACAGCTCTGCTGCTCTGTGTCAAGCTCAGTGTCACACCCACTTGGCTCATTACAGTATCGATTCTTTTGCACAGGTCGCTGCTTTAAGTGTGACTCAGTGGGAATGACCTGCCATTGACTCTTATCACACGTTAGCTGCAGGGTGTTTCTGGAGGCCTGCAACAAGTCAACCTCACTGCAGTGTTGTAGTTGAGACCAATACAAAACCAAAGCTGAAGAGCTTTTATTTAGACAGATTTGATTTCCAGAGTATCTTTTTAGTGCCTGAACTAATGATTGTATTCATAGTCAATTAATGTGACAGATTTGTTTAATCATTTTGTCTTTAAGTGAAATAAAATAATGTTCACCACAATTTCCCAGAGCCCAAGGTAACACTCTGGAACTGTTTATTATCTGCCTAGGGCTTCAATTCATGTTTGGTCTAAAAGATAGTGAAAAATATCAGTCACAATTTCCGAAAGGTCACGGTGACGTCTTCAAATTGCTTGTTTTCTTGACAAACACTCCAAAGGCTAAAGATATTTACTTTAATATCACATAAGAAAAAAAAAATGCAGCAAATCATCACATTTGAGAAGCTGGAACTCGAAAATTGACTTTAATGATTTATCAAAATAGTGGCAGGTTAATTTTCTGTGACTGATTAATCAATTAATTGACTAATCGCTTCAGTTCAAGTTTGAGCATCAGTTCAAAACCCAAAGGTATCCAATTAACAATCATATTTAATGTCAAAAAGCAACAACTCCTCATTTAATGTACAGACATTTTGTATTTTTACCATTTTGGCTTTGCCTTGTGTCAGAGTGTTACAAGCATTGTATGAGCTGCTTTGTTATTCAGTGAAGTTTAGTGAGGACTATTAGGAAACATGAAATGTACTAACACTGCCACAATGAAGCTTTAACAGGAACCACTGGGGTTTCTTATGTTATTCCAGACACTTCTGGCAGCGCACACTACATGACGGCATGAAACACAGTGGCTTTTTACACTTTTTCAGCCCGGGGCTAACCTGAGCCCCAGGCCACAGAAAGCTCTGGGCTAAGTCTGTCACGTGTATATTTTTTAACCCGTGCTGCACTGTTCAAACTCAGAGCCCAGGGTTAAAATATTCAGTTCAAGTACAAGTTTTCTGTGTATCTGCAATGCCAGATTCTCGCATGGTTACCTTTGCCAAGGAGGTTATGTTTTCACCAGCATCTGTTTGTCTAATTGTCGGCAGGATTTTCACAAAAAGTATAGAGCTGATATGCACCAAACTTAGTGAAAGCATCAGCCGGGGACGAACCCATTAGATATAGGTTCAGATCCAAGAATTGTGACACATTGTAAAAAATCAGGCAGATATTGAGATCTATGAGTTCGTACAATTTGGTGCAGATCAAGACAATAATCTGGATCTGATGGATGTGTAGGATTGTTTGGACTTGGCGGAGTTATGTGCTCTACTGAGTACCATTCTAGTAGAAAACTGAGATACATGACATATATTTGTCTGAGCACCTAATCCCTGGTACACTTTATTGTTCCTTAAAATGAAAATGAATGTACCTGAGAAAAGAGGCTCATCAAACATCACAAACACGTCCTGAGCTTGTGATGCAGCGTTGTTCCCAGAGGTTCCAGGAAAGACTTTCAGCCCTGATACCTTTTCAGGTTTAGCAGATCTGAAGCCTGAAGGCAGTGAAACAGAAAAGTAGTGTGACTGTGGTTCTGACGCTCTCACCTCAGACAGCGCGAAGACACCGTGTCCTGGCTGTTTCGAAAATCTGAGTCTTTCATGGATATAACTTTCAGTTAGTGTCTTAACACTTTTCTCTCTATGGGTGTTCTGCAGCATTAAGCAGCTATAATCTTTTGGCTACGTCTCAGAGAGGAAAGTGAAATATGTGCAGAAATAAGTGCAGTAAATGACTCATTCAGTAACAGATTAGCTATTAAGTCATAAGATATTTGCATTAATGCCATTATTAACATTTCACGTCATTCCAGTCAGGTGTTCTTTTGAGTATCAAACACTCACCCCCTTGTAGACTTGAAAGGCTGGAAAAACATTGTTTTGTCCTTGACAGGGGCATCAGCCTGATTGATATTGGCAACAATAGAGTCCAAGATTTCACAGTGGTAATGAAAATGTAAATGTATCAAAATATCAAAAGAAAAGTCTCAAACCACTCCTGCGGAATAACCAGCTGCTCCATTTTCCATAAATATGCTCATATCTGTTTCATATTTTGGTAAAATTATAGCTGCCATTGGTTATTGAAATGCATTGCAACTGACATACAGTGCATTCAGAAAGTATTCAGACCCCTTCGATTTTTTTCACATTTTATGTTGCAGCCTGATGCTAAAATAATTTTAAAAAAAAACATGTCAATCTACACTCAATCCCCCATTATGACAAAATGAAACCAGAATTTTAGAGCTCAGAGACAGGCTTGTGTCAAAGCACAGACCTGGGAAAGGGTACAAAAAAACACACAACGTTCACAGAGCACAGTGGCATCCATCTTTCTTAAATGGACAGAGATCCTGTGTGGAGATGGGTGAAACTTTTAGAAGTGAAAAACTTGAAGGAGTCTGAACACTTTGCGAATGCACTGTCAACAGCTGTTAATGCTAACGTTGACTATGTAGCAGTAGCAAAACTTACAAATAGTTCATTTAAATGTTCAAGATGTTCAATGATTGGAGTCACATGGCTTTTCTGGTAGTACTCTGGTTAAGGTCTTATTCAGGTGAAGCAAGCAAAACGAATAACAATAATAATATTTTAGTCCACCTATAGTGTGCTGGTGTGTTGAATGTGCAACTGTAACTAACAATTATTTTCATTATTGATTAATTTTCCCATTATTTTCTCAATCAATCATTTAATAGTTATATCTGTAAAATAGAAAATAGTTAAACATGCTGTTATCATTTCCCAGAGCCCAAGATTACGTCTTCAGACGACAACCCAGAGATATTAATTTCACTATTATATATGACACAGGAATTCTCTGGATTACAGATGTTTGGCACTTTATTCTTAAAAGAATAATTCAAAATAGTTGTCAAATATTGTCAAAATAGTTGCTAATTAGTTTTCTGCTGATTGACTAATCGATTAATGAGCTAATCGTTGCTGCTCTAGTTGAATATATAATAGCCCTGTTTGGTACTCTCTCCTCCACTGATAAAGAATACATTTCACCTAAATGTGCAGTTCACTCAAAATCCAAGTAGGTTTTACATTCACTTCATTCTGGTGCAACAAACTGTAATGGGCTCATTACTGCCCCCAAAAGGTCAGAAGGCAAAAAACACCAACTGCAGTTGCATGTGGTGTTTTTTTCCTAACTGTCCCAAAGAGGCAGCAATGAGCCCATTTCACACTTGAAAGCAAACACCCACAAAGGTGAGATCTATGCTTTATGCTAGAGTTTTTTCAAGCCGTATGTTGTGGTTTTACAGGTTTGGATTGGAAAATGTCCATCTAGTTAAATGCTGAACCACACAGTAAAGGGTAGCGTACAGCCTCTTAACACATTTAATGGGAAGCATTTGAGACAGTGTGACCCACACAGTGGATAAGAATGTCCTGAGCTGGGGCATCATAAATTCTGCATATTGATGAGCAACTTTGGACGACTCTGTGACTTTGAGCAGATACTGACAACTAAAACTAAGTTGTTTTTTTTTGCCTCAGTAACTTAAAAAAAATCAATCCTACCAGGAGTCTCATCATAAGAGTGTGAGCTTGACTGGCTTATTCTATGATTGGTGTCATTGTCCATTGAACCGTATATGAATCTGTTGAAATTAGAGAAAATATCCGTCACAATTTCTGAGCTTAAATTGTTTGTTCTGTGCAACAGCCTGAAAGCTATTTAGCGTACAATGACATCAATCAGAGAAAATCAGCAAATGATCCCATCTGAGAGGCTGGAACCTTTTGTTTGGCCTTTTTTGTTTGATAAATAACTTAAATGATTAATTGATTATTAGAATAGTTGTGAGTTAATTTTCTGTCAGTCGACCAATGAACAAATTGTTTCACCACTACAGTTTATTATGTTTACAGCCACAAAGTCAGGTAACTTTAGTAACAAGTACAAGATCAAAATTATCCATGCATGTAAATATAGCCATTGATCGTTCCTCTCTTATCTATAAACAGTTTTGTCTGCATCTAGTTTCAATGTTTGAAACATTGACTTTGTCAACTTAACTGATGTCATCCTCCAAGAAGAAGATGCAGCTTCCTGGTAGTAGTACATTCATTCCTCCAGCCTTTATTCCCATAACCTCTCCTCTGTAGATACTAACAATGTGTTACTGTGATGATTGGGATGGAAAGGTAACAACATGAGACTGGGAGGTTGTAATTTTTATGAATCTGGTAGTGCACAGATAGACGTTTGCCAGTGAATGCTAACAAAACATTAATAACAGTGACACAGCATTTCTGGGACCAGACTGCAGTCTGCAGTGAGGGAACAGTTTCTCCTCAGTTAAGGGCAAAACAAGGTCTTCAAAGTCTCCTTTGTGAAAGAGGAGATTTTAGCACAGGCCTGTGGATTTGAAAAATTAGAATAATCTAATTTCTTTCTCTCGCTGAAGGAATCCACAAGTGGATAAGATGAGAGAGGTGTGTGCATTGGTTTGTATCCTGCTGGATGAGATCTGACACAAGTTCCCTCTGAAGTCTGAGTCACTGCGGCTCAGTAGGATCTGATAAAGCTGCTGTGTGTGTGTGTGTGTGTGTGTGTGTGTGTGTGTGTGTGTGTGTGTGCGGGGGTGTGAGATGTAGATCAGTTCATTACTGAGTCATCTCTACTGATCCAGTGGACTCCAGTTAATTTTGTTGTTTATGTTTGGACCTCTTGTTATTACTTAAGGTATGAAACATTTTATGAATATGATGATGATGATGATGATGATGATGATGATGATAAGGCTGATTAACCGTTCAAAATAATGTAATAATAATAATGTAGTAATTTTGAGTTACAGCTCAACACCAATAAATATTGATCTCAGTTCAAATATGTCACCTCCCTATTACAAATACTAGTCCATGATTGGTGCATCTATGATTTCTGAACAAATACACAAAGTAAGGTGACAGAGAATATACAGCAACCGATTCAAACTTTTACTTAAAACTGCACTAATTCATATTTTGACATGAACAATGTCTGTGTAATGTGAAAGCTGCTGTTTGTAGTGACCAATCAGAACATACAGAACATTTCAGTGTCTTTCAGCTCTTTCTTTTGGTTTTCACACGCTCAGCCTTATTGTTTTTGTTCACTCTTACTGTTAGCTGATGAACATGTAGCTGCTAAAGAGCCAGACATTTCTGTTAGAAGTTGGTGGAGAGTAAAACAGCTAAGAGGACAGTGAATGTTGGACATCCATGATTTCACATTAACACTAATGTTGCGTTGTGTCTGCTGGCTGTTAGCTAAAATGTTTATCACAACTTCATAATATGATGATAGTCATTGTTGAATGTACAGCTTGTTTCTGCTGCCCCCAAGTGGCTGAAAAAAATCAGTTAATGCAGGTTTGAATCAGAATTTACAGATTGTAGCTTTTTTAGATAAAAAAAAAAAAACTTATTTAAAAAACCTACAGTGAAAGTTATCACCACAAAATAATAAAATGATGTTAATACATGTTAACTAATTTGTAACATAAACCATTTGATTACTTTTTCTTTTCATATGAATGTGCATTATAGTGTTATTTGGTAGAACAAGTACTATTAAATGAAATAGTATGAAGTGCAACGTCCACAATCTAAAGACAGAATTAAAGACAGTATTAGCTGATGCTGCATATAAAATTCTGTATGAAACTTACCACAAATTGCAAATCATTGATCATTCTATTTTAACTATATAACTAACAAAATAAAAGTTTTCATCAACGGAGGAAAAACCTACAGCTCTTACTCTTCTTTTTCTCATGCTGTAAAAGTTTTAAGTAAATATTAGACTGGGCCTGAGGAAGTAGAGAGGAATTGAGGTTAGAAATAGTGATGTAGAAAATGCTTTGCAGTGTTATTAGTCTCAGGACGTTTTGAACCTGAAAAGTGTTTTCTCATTGACCTTCCCTGCAGCCCAAACAGAGAGCTAAGAGGGGAAGGTGGGAGGAAGTCAAACTGCTGCAGCAACATCTAAAAAAAAAAGAGGTTAACTCAAGTTCACAGAAACAGAGCAAGGCAGATCTCTTGCATGATGACTCGCATGCTAAATCTGTCCCCGGTTCACCAGGAACTAGTCCAACAAATTTTAGTCAGTTTTACTAATGTCTGTCCCTCCGTGCTTCATGTTGTTATCCTCAAACAATCTCTCTCTTTCCTTCTTGGCAGGAATTCGATCCTGGGACGTGGACCTCCAGTGCTGCGACCTTGACCAGCAGCTGCAGCTGTTTATAACCCGCCACTCCGCCCATTTCTCCTCCGAGGTCAGAGGTCAGTGTGATATGGCGCTGTTTGAGCCAATGGACCAGTGATGGCAGAGTACAATTAGTATTCTTTCTTCTGAGAAAAACTTCGATACACTGCAGAGTTTTTATGAAACAGATTTGGTGAAATAATCACTAAGGTGCCCTGAGAACACAAAATTCGGGATAAGTGTTTGATCTTGAAAGGGATGAATTATCAGCAGAGATCCTCTCTTGTCCTTTTGTTCTTTGGTACAAATCATCTCTGGGCTCGTGACCATGAGCACGCTGAGCGACATTTCTGGATTTTAAATTTCAGATTCGTTAAAGAAGTGGTTGATGCTTTAAGTGTGCCAACAAATACTTGACGTAGATATGTGGCCCATTTACCTGCAGTACTTTCAAGCTCAGGACATGGTAGATATATTTATTATGGAATAAAGCACTGAAGCTTTAGTAATGCACAATAATATTGATAATAACTTTTCTGTCTTTATCTGGATTGGTGGAGTTAAATGTAGGCAAACTGCAGGTTAGGCTATGTAAGAATAGTTTCTGCACACTGATTTGAGATTATAGTACTATATTTTTTACTATATTTAGATATATTGTGAAAAACTTTTGCAAATTAAAATGCGAAAAACCTTCAACTAGACAAATCAGAATTATCTACAGTACTAAGTGTATAGGACTAGTTCATTAATTTACAGTGCAATAAAAGATATATATAAATATATAGATATAAACTGAAAACATCATGACTGATTTGTTTTCAATTAAAACTTCACACCAACCCATTCGTTACTGTCGTGTGATTGACAGGAAAGAGCTGAATCTGGTGAACATTTAATCCGTGTGCTTTACATCAAAGCTGAACTGTGTTTATAATCACCATGGTGACTGTTCAGGGAGCTGTGGAGCTGCAGTGTTAGGTGCGCGCGCGCGTGTGTGTGTGTGTGGGTGTGTGTGTGTGTGGGTGTGTGTGTGTGTGGGTGTGTGTGTGTGTGGGTGTGTGTGTGTGTGGGTGTGTGTGTGTGTGGGTGTGTGTGTGTGTGGGTGTGTGTGTGTGTGGGTGTGTGTGTGTGTGGGTGTGTGTGTGTGTGTGTGTGTGTGTGTGTGTCAGCCTGCCTGTGTCTATGTCATGTGATGGTTTAGGGCTCAGAGCCCAGGCTGAAAGTACAATAGATGCTGAATAGGGACTTATTTCAGTCATCTGCCAGGTAAGGGCCTGTTGGGATCAAACACACACACATACTGTAAACACACACACACACACACATAGAAAACAGACAACCACAGGATAGATTATTACTGCACTGGTGGTAAGTGCTTAGCAGCAGCAGCAGCAGTCAGCAGAAAGTGACACAGCATTTTTCAACACAGTTGTTAAACGAAGCAAATACCTTTGGAGGAAACGGAGGAATTCTTGTGAAACAGTAAATATCATCAGGATATTTCACTGATCTGTCATCCAGTCTGTCCTTCTGGGTTACCATTACAAAGAAACACACCTCCACTCATGTGAACCAAAGTGAGTCACCTTCATTTGTGCTTACAGCTGCTGTTTATTGATACAACTGCTGATAAAACATGATCAATTCCCTCAGGTGTACTCCATCTGTAACACATGAGGACATTCATTTTAACTTTGAACACAGGATGATGGGAACATAAACATTTTTTTAATTTCTTGGATTTTCCTTTTACCTCAGGAATAACAGGAAAAACAATAACATGTTTTCATAGTTATATTGACATTGAATGGATCATGGTTGACTGTATCCATATTGCTGTGAGAGAAGGTCCATTGATTTCTATATGGTATATTAGATTTCTAAAGGCACTGCGCTGTAATGTAAAATAGCATTAGTGGTATAGTGGTCAGACAGGACGTCCTGTAAGTGTCGTTGGTTCAGTGTCCAGTGACCTTAAGCCCCCCCCTGAATCTAGATCCATTGACAGCTGATACTAATGTGAGATATTTATCTGGAAGAGGAAAACTCATGTTAGTGAAATGAAATAATGGAGCTTCATGCTGATCCTGTGAGAACATTTGCTGAACAGCGGTCACTGTCATATGAAATCACAGTGCATCAGTACCAGGGCTGAATAATATGCCAAAAAAGTCATGTTGCGGTTATTTTGGCAGATATTGCGTTTGGTGGAATGGTCATTTTCGCATTTTCATTTCACTTGTTGGGGCTTGTACCAAACAAACATGTTAGTTTACGGCTGGAGAATAGCATCACACAACGCTTCATGTATGGTCTGTTGTGACTCATTTTACCTTTATCAAAAAATTGCATCTTCTGTGATTTGAATATTGTACTTGGCCATGTTGCAATTTTGATAATATTTTGATTAATTGTTCAATCAGTACTGGAGCACAAGAAGAGCCATCAAGTCAGAAAACTGTCTCATTGATGTCAGTCAAACAGCAATGTCTATCAAGCTAATATAATTAACTAACATTTGATACTGCTCAGACCAGACCAAGTACAGTAAGGCTGTAGCAGCAAAACCTGTGAGAGCATTCAGGTGAACATGGCAGCATTTTATTGCTGATTAATTAAACTTGTCATTATTAGGGGCAAAAGAAATATGTTTTTTTTTTTTTTTATTATTTCAAAAGTTACGTTGTGTGGCTTTAATACTGGATGTGATAAAGTATTAAAATGTCACACGGTCTTTAAACTTATATTGTTCCTCAAAATAGATGTTCAGCTCAGTTTAGTAAAAACTTGTTGTGATTCTGAACAGTGATGGAAACACATTGTTTCAACATTGTGTTCAAAACGTAATGTGATCCCCCAAACTAATAATGGAGATGAAAAAAATGCATTCTCCCTTTTTAACACTGTGAGGTAGCTGAAGCCGGAGGGAACAAGGACGAAGCCTGGGAGTATTGATTATACTCCCCTTTTTTCGGTACACCACACAAGGCAGATCGATAGCACTTCAATGGAGGGCGGTCTGATGGCTGCAGTGCAGAAATAGATTAGGGGATCACATTGCTTTGGGTTGACGGAAAAACTTCCATTGTGGGAAAATGGCAGCAGCAGTCCTTTGCTGTCCACTCGGCTGAGTTTGGAGATGAGCACTGATCGGTTCACCGATAAAGGTTCTGGGGAGGTCTGGGTGAATAGAGGGTATCGATTATGCTCTACTTTCTCTCTCAACCAACTGAGGTGCTCTTGGGAAACCAATTCCAGTGTCAGGGCTGGAACAGTATCTTCCTGCTGTTGTACGACCATGAGTCAGGGTACTGAAAGAAACAGCAAATAAGTATTCTCAGTATTGGGACAACTCAAATTCAGTTTTACATCACTTCATATTCCCGTTCATATTTGAGAGAACATTTTGATAGAGAAAATAACCATTTACTTTACTTTAACCAACAATAGAGAGATTTCCTCCAATGGTTATTTTTCATCGTGCCAACCAAGGCCTTCTGCCTCCTACTACCAATGTTTTTCTTCACAAATTATTTTGTACTTTTGAAATGGTCAATGCCTTTTTCTGATTTCTCAGTTTGCAGTAAAAACTCTATGATATTGAACCAGTGTGAAGGGACATTTATCTGACAACTCTTTCACAGCTTGTCCTTGATTTCTCTTGATGCACATGACTACCCTCCACTCTTAAGTGTTGGTTTCCTCCAGTGGGCAGTTGTTAGTTGGAGGTGTTTGTGAATGTAGTTTTTAGATTTATAAGTATTATAGTCCAGGGTTGGCTGCCATCAAAACCACTTCTGAGCTGCATCATGATCCTAACAGCGTTTAAAGCTCAGTTTATTGTTAAAAATAAGGTTTGCAGTCGTGTTGTTTCTCCACTTTTAATTAATTGAAGAGAATTATAATCTTACCTTGTCAGGTTTTATTAAAATACAACATTTCTAAACATCATTATTTTTCAAAATTACACAACAAGCTGAATAGTTATATTATTTAATTATATCATCAAATTTCACATTACACAAGTTTTTGATATACATTTTCAAAGCTCTCTGTACTTGTGTGGAATGAGAAATATGTTTTCTTTTCATGTTGTTTTGGCAAAGCACAAGGTCACATCACAACATTACTGATACAGTGCGAATCATCAGTGGGATTTACTGGTTTTGACTGAAGTCTAACTAAAGATAAAATTACTGCTTTATCTGGCATACAGTATTACTGTGGTTTGTCTACAGCTTTGTATGAAGTCATTTTTCTCTCCCTGCACGTGTAATTTAAAACCTTCAGAAGCCGAATCTAATGTCAAATAAATGCATGACTAAAGTGTTTTTCTTTGACCCCTTCAGTGGGCATCCACTGATGGTTTCGGTATATTTTCTGCTGGTTTCATAATACTTCTAAAGTTTAATAAAAGAAATGAATGAATTAACATCCTTTATAACCTTTAAATTTTGTTTTTATGCACAAACCAGATGAAAACATTGGTTCATCGTAAGACAACTGAAACTAAATACAGAAGACACAGTCAGAGAAACTTATAAATAGATCGTGTTTATTGATCAAAGATCTAAAATTCTCCTCCAGAGGTTCGGTGATCATATTTCATTTAATGGGTACATTTAGTAGGAGAGTGATGACAGTGCTGTTCAGTCCGACCACTTTACAGTAAGAAACACAATCACTCTTTCCCCTTTAAAAGGCTGCACCTGCTGACATTGACAAAGCAAAACAATACGTCAGAGACTTCATGTGACTTATTTGATGTTTTATATTGTAGTCATTAGATACTTTATGAATTTCAAATCTGTGATGCTGTTTGCATCTACTGTATTTATAGTTTGTTACTGTCACTTTATCACATGAACATCCCTCACAACAAATATTACACAGTGTCTCCTAGTGTTGAAACAGTGTAATGCATGGATGACTTTATATTTTTGCACAATGAATCTGTCTGTACTCTCTCACTGTTTAAACACACACTCACAAAGAAACACACATACAGCTGACAAAAATCTAACAGCTCTTTGAACTCAGTTGCCAGTTTATTAGGTACACATAGATAAAACTA